ACTTCTGTGATGCTACTGGCAGCAGCTCTACCTTCAGAGCTGGGCTCATGGCCAGCAGCCGCTGCTCTCTGGCCACCCAGTTCTGAAGGCAGCACTGCCGCCTGCAGCAGCACAGAGGTCAGGGTAGCAGTACCACAGCCCTGCCTATAATAACTCCTTTTTGGGTCAGGACCCCCTACAGTTACAACATGAAATTTCAGATTTAAATAGCTAAAATAATTAAATTTACTATTTTTAAAATACTATGACCGTTAAATTGACCAAAATGGACCGTGAATTTGGTAGGGCCCTACTTATAATGATAGACTCAAGGAGCTCAGTTTAGTTAGCTTAACAAAGAGAAGGTTAAGGAGTGATAGCTCAGTGGTTTGAGCATTGGCCTGCTAAACCCAGGGTTGTGAGTTCAATCCTTGAGGGGGCCATTTAGGGAGTTGGGGCAAAAATTGGGGACTGGTCCTGCTTTGAGCAGGGGGTTGGACTAGATGACCTCCTGAGGTCCCTTCCAGCTCTGATATTCTATGATTCTATGAGGTGATTACAGTCTCTAAATACCTAGACGGTCAACAAATATTTAATAATAGGTTTTTTAGTCTAGCAAAGATAAGTGTAACACAATCCAATGGTTGAAAGTTGAAGCTAGACAAATTCTGACTGGAAATCAGCCATACATTTTTAAGAGTGGATAATTTAACATCAGACCAATTTATCAGGGATCGTGATGGATTCTCAATCACTGATGATTTTTAAATCAATATTGGATTTTTTCTAAAAGATATGCTCTCGGAAATATTTTGGGGGTAGTTCTACGGTTTGTTATGCAAGAGATCAGACTGGATGATCACAATGGTCCCTTCTGGCTTTGGAATTATAAAATTCATTGATTCATAATTTGTATTTAAGAAGGGGATACCTTAACATTATATTTATCTGTGTACAGTGTTCTGAGAGGTTCTGAGATAGGGGCTTTGTTTTATATCTAATTCCTGCTGTAAATAATAAATTATAATCCAGGTGCTCAATTCCTGGTCATGTTGAGAACTACTTGTATTAAAAGTGATACATATTTCATTCTTATGTCAGAATGTCTTAGCTCAAATGTCACTTCAGTTCTTGCTCTAATGATTCTTATCCAGAAAGTAATACTGTATCCCTGCCATACCGAGCTCCAGAATTTCCATGTAAAAAAATCTCATTTACATTCTAATTCAAATGAAATACCCAACATTGAAGTTCCATAGGCTCTCCAAGTTGTCCTCTGAGCCTGCACATCAAAGCGACTTACTTGAAATACAGTGATTGAATCAGATGGTGTTTTCTTCCTAACCCTGGTGTGCAGTTTGCAAATTAATTCCAGTTCTGCAGTTTCTTGTTGGAGTCGGTTTTTGAAGTTTTTTTTATTGAAGAATTGCAACTTTTAGGTCTGTAATTGAGTGTCCAGGGAGGTTGAAGTGTTCTCCGACTGGTTTTTTAATGTGTTAATTCTTGACATCTGATTTGTGTCCATTTATTCTTTTGCATAGAGACTGTCCGGTTTGGCCAATGTACATGGCAGAGGGGCATTGCTGGCACATGATGGCATATATCACATTAGTAGATGTGCAGGTGAACAAGCCCCTGATGTGATTAGGTCCTATGATGATATCCCTTGAATAAATATGTGGACAGAGTTGGCAGTAAGCTTTGTTGTAAAGATAGGTTCCTGGGTTAGTGTTTTTGTTGTGTGGTTGCTGGTGAGTATTTGCTTCAGGTTGGGGGGCTGTCTGTAAGTGAAGACTGGCCTGTCTCCCAAGATCTGTGAGAGTGAGGGATCGTCCTTCAGGATAGGTTGTAGATCCTTGATGAAGCGCTGGAGAGGTTTTCGTTGGGGGCTGAAGATGCTTCAGAAATAGACTCCAACGAGAAACTGCAGAACTGGAATTAATTTGCAAACTGGACACCATTAAATTAGGCTTGAATAAAGCCTGGGAGTGGATGAGTCATTACACTAACTAAAGAACTATTTCCCCATGCTAATTTTTCCCCTACTGTTACTCACACCTTCTTGTCAACTGTTTGAAATGGGCCATCCTGATTATCACTACAAATGTTTTTCTCTCCTGTTGATAATAGCCCATCTTAATTGGTTAGTCTCGGTAGAGTTGGTATGGCAACCCCCATTTTTTCATGTTCTCTGTATATATATCTTCCTACTGTATTTTCCACTGCACGCATCTGGTGAAGTGGGTTTTAGCTCGTGAAAGCTTATGTCCAAATAAATTTGTTAGTCTCTAAAGTGTCACAAGTACTCGTTTTTTTTGCTGATGCAAACTAACATGGCTACCACTCTGAAAGTAATTCCCAGAGGTGGTCATAGCTGTATAGTAACTTGTCTTTTGTTCAAAAATATTGGATGTCCCATTAATGCTGTGCATACCAGTAAAAAAAAACGGGGGGGGGAATCAAATGTACCTTTGTTGACAATTTTGTTCTTTCATAAAACTTTCATGTATAGCTTTTTTTTAAAGGACTTTCATGTTTCTTAAATTATGGATAACAGTCCTTTAAACACTATCAAGATGATATACTTGTTAGTGTAGGTGACACATCCCACACTGGTGTTCCTCAAATTATTGTCTGTCAGTGATAAAAAGCTGATCAGTTTATCAAATCATTTCATCTAAGTCTCAAACTGCCTAGATCTTGATTTTATGTTAAGATCTTTCTCAGTGCCTCTCTTCCTTCCACACACAACAAAGATAAAAACATATTGTGCAAACGTAATAATATGTTAGATAAATCTGTCCACAGAAATATTTTAAAGGAACTGCCTCTATTGTGTGTAAAATCCCTCTGCTATATTTGGCATTAGTACTTGTTTGGAAATGGAGACTGCCAGTAAAAACAGAAAATAATTTCTCTTTCCAACATTAGTTTGAAACTGAAATACTTTAGTTTTCAGCATGTTACCTCTACTCAACTGCCTTGAATAAGGATTAAACAACAATCACAGTTGGGACATAAGAATTTAACATAAGGGCCATACTGGGTCAGACCAATGGTCCATCTTGCCCATCAGCCCGACAGTGGCCAGCACAAGATGTTTCAGAGGGAATGAACAGAACATGGCAATTTCAAGTGATCCTCATCCTCAGTCATCCAGCTCAGCTTCTGGCAATCAGAGATTTAGGGATACCCAGAGCATAGAGTTGTGTCCCTGACCACCTTAGCCATTGATGGACCTATCCTCCATTAACTTCTGTTTTGTTTTTTTTAATCCAGTTATACTTTTGGCCTTCACAACATCCCCTGGCAACAAGTTCCACAGGTTGACTGTGTGTTGTGTGAAGAAATACTTCCTTTTGCTTCTTTTAAACCTGCTGCCTATTTATTTAATTGGGTGACACCCGGTTCTTGTGTTATGGAAAGGAGTAAATAATGCTTCTCTATTCAGTCTCAACACCATTCATGATTTTTTAGACCTCTATCATATCCCACGCCCCCACCTTATTCATCTCTTTTCTAAGAACACTCCTTGTATGGAAGCCGTTCCATGTCCCTAATCATTTTTGTTGCCCTTTTCTGTACTTTTTCCAGTTCTGCTTTCTTTCTTTTTTTTTTTAAGATGGAGAGACCAGAACTGCACACAGTATTCAATGTGTGGGTGTGCCATGGATTTATAAATTTGCATTCTGATCTTTTCTGCCTTATATATCCTTTCCTAATGGTTCCTAACATTGTTAGCTTTGTTGACTACTGCTGCACATTGAGCAGATGTTTAGAGAACTATTCACGATGACTCCAAGATCTTTCTTCAGTGGTAACAGCTAATTTAGAACCCATCATTTTGTATGTATAATTGGGATTATATTTTCCAATGTGCATTACTTGCACTCATCAATATTGAATTTCATCTACCTCTGTGTTGCCCAATCAACCTGTTTTGTTAGATTCCTTTGAAACTCTTCAAAGTCAGATCTGGACTTAACTATCTTGGGTAATTTAATATCATCTGAAAATTTTGCCATCTCATTGTTTATCCACTTTTCCAGATCATTTACGCATATATTGAACAGCACATGTCCCAGTACAGATCTTTGGAGGTAGGATAGTACCACTAACGTTTTTATTTATTATAATTTTGATGCTGCAGCTACAAACTGAATATGCTGCTGCATCCGTTTTAATAAAATTAGATCTGATTTGCAAAATACTGTATGAAAATATAAAGTCCCTAAAGTACTTAAATGTCACTTGATGATTTGCCAGGGTCATTGCTTTGTTACCTTATAATTTCATGTGGTGAGAAAGGTTTCACCAGTCTTCCATTTTGTTTTGTTTTTAGTCTTTGAGAGCACTCAGGCAATCAAGGCAGGGTCTGTTAGGGTTCCAATTAGAGAGTCATCTTTTCTCACTTGCTAATTCCAGCAGTAAAAACTGTCTCTGAAGAAAAATGTCTTTGCACAATGTGAAAGAGTATGAGTGAAGTTCTCTGATTCTTGGTTTAAACAGGTAATGAGTCTTTTAAAATCCAGGTTAAAAAAAAAATTGGTAAACTTTTACCAACAAGCCTCACATTTTAAGGAAGTGTCTGCACTGAGAATGCTTGGTCTTATTGTTTGGAGAATTGCTTACATGGCGGTCTGCAAATTGTGATTGGTGATGCATGCCATGTGTGCTGCACTTGTTAAACCCATAAATGCCCCTCACCCTAACCCCCTAAAAAACTCCAAACAAAAACAACAGTTAAGGCTGAAACATAGCAATTTGTCCATTATCAAAGCCTGATTTGTTTGTAATCATACTTTTCATAGTTCTGACATACTTAGGATTGACTGCTAAATATAATGGTATAAATGTAGATTGTTGCTTTGAGGATTTTCCCCATATAACTATAGCATTATAAATTTACCCTGAATTGCAAGTATTATGCTACAACTTGTTGTATTTTAAGGTGTCTTAGTCCATTTAAATGTTTTGAGATGGTACTTTTTAATGTTGTAAATATCTTTCTCTTCTCTTAGGAAGCATCACAAGTGGTTCCACAGCACTCTTTGAAGTTCCTGACACGTGGTAGCCAACATCTGTATTAATAAAAAGTGAAGCTGATTCAAAGCAATTGCAAGAGTATACCACTTGGAAGCCATACTTTATTTAAATAAAAAGTGGTGTTGAAAAATAAGTATGTCTCCTGAAAATCAGTTTAATTTTTTTAAACTGTCTACTGAACAATCACTGTCAGTTTTACTCGTGTATTAACTAGTTTACAATTCTGTCTGTTGATCATGTGAAAACTTTGCTGTCGTAAACAATGTTAGATTTAAGAAGCAAGACTAAACATGTTTTGGTCACCTGTTATGGCATGTTGGCTATGAAATGTACAAAAAGAATCAGCACTATTAAGAATTTTGTTAGGCTGTTTCTTGTGCTTGAGGGGAGTTATCACATAAGTCTTCTCATCTTCAGATGTTCCGGCGATATCAGTAGTCCTGAACAGATAAACCTCAGTATCGGTTACTGCTTTCTACCAGTTACCCTGGAAACCTTACAGTGTTGTCCTTTTTCCTCAGTAGGAAGACTTCAGCCAGTATCTGTCTGGAAACTAATCCTACACATATATATCCTTTTGTTCTCTTGGAAAAATTTAACTTATACTTTCCTTAAAAAAAAAAAAAAAAGAAAGAAAGAAAGAAGAAAGAAAGAAAGAAATTAATGTTGGGAGGAGGTGGGTTTTCTTTTCTGTTTTCACTCAAGTCTTGATCTGGTTTTCCATGGTTTGTGTTTTTTGTAAAAATGTTTTTGAAACCTGTGACAAACCTGCAAACTGTACCAGCCCTTTATTCATTTACAAAAAATCTGCTTTGGTAGATTTCAGAAACTTTGATATTTAACATTTTTGTATCATGGAAATAAAAATGAAAAATGTATTTCCATAAAATGAAAATAAAAAACATTTTCTTAGGACCCAGTGTGTCTGTATTTTTCACATCATTTATGTGACTTTTCTCTTGTTTTGCCATTCATATATGGTTAGTGGGTATTAAGACACATACATTCTTGTTTTATAAATGTGTTTCCAACACATCATTCTAGCAAATGGAATAACTACCAGAGTTCATGAGATAATATTTATTGTGGAGCCTGACCCCTTCCCCCTTAAATACAATAAAGGGAAACCCCTTGGAGGTCAGGGGTGAAGCAAAAACAACTTTCTGCCCTTTACTGTTCCTTTACGCTCTATAGCAGCTGCCTCAAATTCTCAAAAGTAATTTTTAAATTTTCCTGGTTGACTTTTCTTTTGAAATATTAGGTCCTGACATGTTGAAGGCAGCATGTTCATCTGACAATCCAGGAATGTACTAGCTTTCAATCTTAGCACTAACTTCTGCTCCACATCATCTGCTCCACTGCTTTGTGTTGTGAGGCAGAGAATGTCTGACTGGAGTGCAGGAGATGATGCTAATGAATCTGAGTGAGCTCTGTTGCTATTAGGGATCCCCAGGTCTTCTGTACTATGATATCAGGAGTAAAACTTAGTATGGATCACCAAGCTCCATGTGCCTTTGGTGGCCTCAAACCAAAGTGAGGCTTCAAATCCCTCCTCAATGTGAGTCTGATCATTGTTTGAGTTATTCAGGAAGAACTACTCATGTTGTGCACCATCTTGTAGCAAGATTTTCAAACGCTGAGATGTACAAATAAGCTGCAGTCACAATGTCTGATTTTCATGTCTATATTCTCTAAAAATGTGGTTTTCAAGAATGCAAAGTCCTCAAACATGTGAATGGATCAAAGAGAACACAGTTTGAAAAGGAGCTTAGCCTCACGTTCTTACCTTGATGCAAAACAGCAAAACAAGTATTGTAAATATTCAAAAAAGTAATACAGTAGTTTCGTAATTTTTTAAATTCTAGTAACAATCTGAATATCATACATTACAATGGTCAATTTTTCCATTTATTTGGACTGGGTCAGATGGAACAATGCATGTGCTATGAGGATATTTTTTTCCCCCCAAACTTTAAAGTAATTGTTCTCCCAGGAATTCTGCTGGCTTTTCTAGTGGAAGCCAGCTTTAATCTTAAAAAGAAAAGGAGTACTTGTGGCACCTTAGAGACTAACCAATTTATTTGAGCACAAGCTTTCGTGAGCTACAGCTCACTTCATCGGATGCATACTGTGGAAAGTGTAGAAGATCTTTTTATACACACAAAGCATGAAAAATACCTCCCCCCACCCCACTCTGCTGCTGGTAATAGCTTATCTAAAGTGACCACTCGCCTTACAATGTGTATGATAATCAAGTTGGGCCATTTCCAGCACAAATCCAGAGTTTAACAAGAACGTCTGAGGAGGGGAGGGGGGGTAGGAAAAAACAAAGGGAAATAGGTACCTTGCATAATGACTTAGCCACTCCCAGTCTCTATTCAAGCCCAAGTTAATTGTATCCAATTTGCAAATGAATTCCAATTCAACAGTTTCTCGCTGGAGTCTGGATTTGAAGTTTTTTTGTTGAAGAATTGCAACTTTCGTGTCTGTAATCGCGTGACCAGAGAGATTGAAGTGTTCTCCGACTGGTTTATGAATGTTATAATTCTTGACATCCGATTTGTGTCCATTTATTCTTTTACGTAGAGACTGTCCAGTTTGACCAATATACATGGCAGTACATTGTACAATGTACATGCACATCCACCAATGTGATATATGCCATCATGTGCCAGCAATGCCCCTCTGCCATGTACATTGGTCAAACTGGACAGTCTCTACGTAAAAGAATAAATGGAAAACCTGGATTTGTGCTGGAAATGGCCCAACTTGATTATCATACACATTGTAAGGAGAGTGATCACTTTAGATAAGCTATTACCGGCAGGAGAGTGGGGTGGGGGGAGGTATTTTTTCATGCTTTGTGTGTATAAAAAATCTTCTACACTTTCCACAGTATGCATCCGATGAAGTGAGCTGTAGCTCACGAAAGCTCATGCTCAAATAAGTTGGTTAGTCTCTAAGGTGCCACAAGTACTCCTTTTCTTTTTGTGAATACAGACTAACAAGGCTGTTACTCTGAAACCTAGCTTTAATCTTGAGAACTGTTACTACCATATCTTCAACCCTACCATTTTGTCTTGTTTGTTTAGATTTTAAGCATTTTGGGACAGGAACTCTCACTGTATGTGCTTTGGCATTTTGATTGGTGCCTCTAGCTGCTACAGTCTTTTTTGTTTTTAAAAGATAAGATAACCATGCTATTCTGCTTATAGCAGAAAAGATTTTAATGTAGCTGTTATGGTTATTGGTCTAAAATGAGCAACGTATCTAAACCAATAAAGCAGAATGAAGTCAGGGCATATATAGTTCTTTAATTGTACTTTTAAGGGTTCTGGTAGGGATTAATTCTGAACAGTAACATAAGGCAAGAAGTGACCCTCACCAACGTAAAAAGTTCCTTACCCTGTGGTATCACAAAGACCTCCTATGCTATCCTCAAGTGAAGGATAACATGATTCATTAAATTTTCCTTTATCTTAAGTGAAATCACTCAATTGTAACTCTAAAAGGGAGAGGACAACTTCCTATATTGGATCAATTTTGCTAATGTTTCCTAATTAATTTATGTAATACATACAATCCTGATCTTTGGTTCCTTTGTGTGTATGTGGAATGTTACAGACTTAATAATGTGATTAAGTGTTTTCTCTCTTCATAACTGTGGTGTCTAGCACAATCCCAGGATCCTTGACTAGGGTTTCTAGGCACTACTATACTACAAATAAATTAAAATGTATATAAATAAAACATGAAAATGATGATGTGGCATGAACAGTTCTTCACCAGGAGTTTGAGATTTGCATCAAGTGGCAATTAGTGGTTTTATGTAGGTTATCCCAATTAACGGCCAATAAAATGTGTCAGAATTTAATGTAATTTGTATATAACACATTTTACCAAAAATCCTTTAGGAATGTTTGTTTTAAAATTGTATTGGAAGTAGCCCTCTGCCTGGAAAGGCACTTGCCTTAGTTACAATTCCAACTGTACATGACTGAAATTAAAGCTGATAAAGTTAAAACTACTAAATGTGACTTAAAATGGACTCTGTTCATAAAGACATCATGACTTTGAAGCCTGACATTTTGGAATATTCTAAAATTAGAACGAAGTGACAGCTCCTGTTAGAGGTTTGAGGGTCTTCCTATTTCAGTAGGAAAATCACCAATTTGGATAATACCATAAAAGGAACCTGGTACAGGATGAGCTGGACCTTTAGAACAGCTCAAAACCTGGCTCCAGTATTACCAACCTCAAAAAATCAAAAATCATGCATAAGTCTCCAAATATCATGTTTTTTAAAAGATTATATTGTTTTCTGATCTGTCTTGATTTTTGAACTATCCCTGCCTGTCCCCAGTGTCTAAGAAACAATTTTTGCCTCTTCCCAAATTTATTGGGTAAAACTGATTTTTGGCTCCTGCTGCAGGAGCTCTCACCCCCACATCTGACCATTACCTGCCCAGCAATTCTACCCCAAACCTCAAAATCAGTCCTGTCCCCCTGTGGACACTGATATTGATGTCAAAGGATATTGACCTCAAAGACCTAAAGGTGTTTATACATTTCACTGTCCAACATAAAATGGGTTCTTTTAAACAGTGAGGCCTTGGTTTTACTTGGTTATTTGGCAAACAGCCAAAAACATTCATTCAGATTAAAATTTATTAAACACAGGAAAGAACAAGAAATTAAAACAGTCATTTATACTGAAACTGTGGTTGAGTGTGCAAAACAGTCAAAACCTTTCAAGTCTTTCTCCTTTTGGAGGCAAACCATCAGTCTCTTATTTTCAGAACTCCCTTTCTTTGATGAAAAGGAAAAGGGTTAATTTTACTCCCAGTCCTGATGTATAGATGGCATTTACTTATCTTGCTCTTAGCAAGGTAGAGGAGAGACAGGATAGAAAAGATGGTTAAAATACATTGTTGATATGTTTGAAACACTGGATGGTTACAAGTGGATGCTTTGGCTCGCAAGTCTTCCACGACGCATGCTGCTTGGACCTTGGTTATAATCTAGTCAGGGCTGTCATCTGACTGGATATTTTCTCCTTAGATAAGGCAGATTTGGATGATTGTAGGATGAGTGAGATAGGATAGGAGGGAAAATAGTGGGCAGAACATAACACAGCAAGGGAAGAGTATACAATACAAGATCTTACATGCCTTTGCAGTGCTGGTAATTAGATAGCCCCACTGATGGGCTGACGACTGGATGTCATAGTAATGTGATAACTTTCAGCACTTACAGGTGAAAATGAAGTTCTTTAAATAAGCAAAGCCAGCCAGCCTTCGTCTAAGGAAAAAACTCCTTCAGATGAGCCGCGATGAGTTCCAGTGCTGGCAGTCTGGGGGATGAGATGAGGTGAGCTGTGATGCAAGGTTGGCAGGAGATGAGGGAGGGCTGAACTGATCATGTTTTTTCAGTCTCTTTTTATAAAACACAAAAAGGGCTGCATAGTTTATCCCTTTCGTTATTTTGTTCAACAATTTAGACTTAATATGTCACCCCAGTTTTGTTTTATTAATATCTGATTCCATATCTTTTGTTTTTACCAAGCATAATTTTAATAGTCTTTGGATTATATCAACATGGCCTTTTTGGTTTAGACTAATCTGGCTTCTTTGTCTAGTTCTCTTGAACTTGTTACAAAATGTTGTAAACAACTTTACTTATTTTTCATGATTATTGCCACATCTCAGAAACTTTTACATATGTTTTATATTATAAATTTACAATGGGGTACATTTAAGGGCTTGATAATTACAATACCCCCATCACTACAGATCCTCTAGCCTCCCTGATGCTCCTCTGGGGTTCTTTACCTGCTCTCCCAGGTTTGGGAGAGCAGCAGTGAGCCCCCTTTCCCCCTTCCTAGCTTGGGAGGGCAGCTCTAGGGGCTCTTCATC